AAGCTTTTCCGTCTAACTGGATCCGAATTCGACGAGCAGAGTATTGAGATGCTTTCCGAGTCTGACGAAATGTTGTTTGAGTGCGGACCGCGTGAAAAAGCACATTTGATGCTGCCTCGTGCTGTTGTTTGTAAAGGAAATCATTGGCATGTTATTTGTGCTCAGATCAAGTAAGTTAACAATGACAGAACACATAAAAGACTCTGATCAAAACGCTTATTTGTCACCATCACTCTCGGACTGTTCGTTCGTAAGCTGAATTCTTTGCCAAATGCTAATCTGCCCATGTCTGGAGATATATCGGGTTGAAACTCAGCGACCTTATTTCAGTGGACCAAGTTCAGACTGTGGTGCAACTGGTCGTGCAAATGTGATCGGTGAAGATGGGGTTCAGTTCACATTTCGCAATTCACGGATGTCTAATAACGGAACCGATACCAACGTTGGACAGATTCCAGAACTCCTATACGTGTCCGAAGGTGGGAATGGTCCATCGATGTCAATGATGAATCGAGATGATGGTTGTGATTTCGCAGAGACGAGGTATCTGTTGAGATCATTCCGTTTTATTATCCCTCTGCAATCCTATAAGAAGCACTTAATTTGGGTCCGATTGAGAACCAATAATGAGGTCAATCGTCGTCTTCTTATTGTGCTTCACATAGTCAAATCATATCTCAACATTTCTGGGACTGGACTTTGTGTATGTGGATGGGAATTTGAATGTTTTAGTTATTGTGACCGTATATCGATGGCGATTCGTATGCAGTCTTTGCTGAGTGTTACACCGACAACGCTGAGTGCTCTCTACCGTATACTCGATTGGGCGATTGAACGAGCGATTATCAATGAGGATTCGAACAACTCGGAATTCACATGGTTACGAGAACGGGCCACAGCAGTGGCCATTGTTGTTTTGCGAATGATTTGGTAAGTTCTCATAACGGATGCAGTGTTCTTGATATAATCGTTGAAGGAAAATGTGAAAAATAAATCCGATTGGTTCGAATCTGATTCGTTTTGGTTGTAATCATCATGGAATGCAGCAAACATGTGTATTATCTTGTGAAGATATTTTCCACATTTCAGTTTCTATATTCGCTGTCTTTATTCACCGTCCAGTGACAGTATAAATGATGATCGAAGAGAACCATCGGGTGAATTCGCAGATTTGATCGTTCAGTTCGCCTCAATAATGAATGCACTATTCGATCTTGCAAACGAGCGAATTCTCAGTGAGGTTTGTCAATAATGATCTTTGATGAACAAGTGTCGTCAATATCCGACGCTGAAACCTTGATATCGTTTAGTCTAAGAAGTTTGATGAACCTAGTTCAAATTTATTAAAAATTCAGTGTCCTAAACACCTATGCATACGTGATATTTATCTTCGGATCAAAATGATATTTTGTTGCAATTTCTAGGATTTGACTCGTTGGGCACTGCTTGAGGAAGCTGTACGAACGTACGTCTCTTGTTCACGTGTGCTTCTACCCAGTCCACAGCTGGCCGTTGAACGTTTAGCACTTTTGATGTCCACACCTAACCGCGAATGGTCTCTGGCCGCACTTCTGAC